TTTTTTTGTTTTGGTACCAGGGATTGAACTCGGGTCCTTGCACTTGCACAGCAGGCGGCAAAACCACTGAGCTAAATCCCCGGCCCTCCCAATATATATTTTAATGAAATTTAATTCACATGCCACAAAACTCACACTTTTAAAATATACAATGCCATGGAATTTTTCCAGGTGGAAGGTGTTACTGAGGATTGAACCCAAGGCCTTCTTACTGAGCTACATCCCTGGCCCTTTTTATTTTTTTCGGTGTTTGGGATTGAACCCAGGGGTCTCTCTACCTCTGAGTTACATCCTCAGCTCTTTTTACTTTATTTTATTTATTTTTTTTGGTACCGAGGATCGAACTCGGGACCTTGCACTTTCGAGGCAGGTGCTGGAACCACTGAGCTAAATCCCCGGCCCAACTCTTTTTATTTTTAAATTTTGAGTCAGGGTCTTTGCCAAGTTGCCTAGGTAGTTCTCAGATTTGCAGTCCTCCTGTCTCAGACTCCCTCAGTGCTGAGGTGACACATGTGTGCCACTAGGGCCAACTTCAAGATTGTGCAATGATCCCCATTACCTGATTCCAGAATGGACTCTCCCCCAACCCTCCGTAATACTGGGAATTAAGCCTAAGGCCATCGCACTGAGCTACATCCCTAGCCCTTTTCTGTTCTTATTTTATTTATTTATTTTGGTACCAGGGATGGAACTCAGGTCCTTGTGCTTGAGCAGCAGCAGGCGGTGAAACCACTGAGCTAAATCCCCAGCCCCCTGGCTTCATTTTTTTCTTTCTACAAAAGGTAATAGAAACCCAAACAATGAGAGAAGAGACTACTAATTAAAGATCCTGTTCACTAAGCTAGTATCCTAATCCCAGTTTGAGGCCCTTCCTAGCAGGAGAATATAACAAGAGGTGAAACTGTTGGAACCCTAAAGGGTAGTTCTTAATTTGTGGCTCTGTTTTTGCTCTGAGACAACATAGGGTCTAGAGAAAAAAAAAAAAACTGCTGGTGCTGGAGATGGAAATGAAAGTTTTGGACTCAGAGGGTAAAGGGCCCCTCTGGGATGTTGAACCTGTGTGTCCAGAGGGAGCTCGAGGTTTTTCTTGGCATCAAGTCCTTTTTGGTTTCTTTGAGCACCTCCCCCACCCCATTGAAACCAAGGCCTTCACCCCGAGTTACGTCCCTGATTCTTTAAAAGAAAAAAAATTTTTTTTTTTTTGAAACAAGATTTCTCCAAGTTGCTGAGTTGCCCAGGCTGGATTCAAACTCGGAATCCTCATGCTTCAGCCTCCCAGAGTGTCGGGATTGCAGGTGTGCACTACTCTGCCTGGCTAGTTTCTTCTGTTTCTTCGTTGTTTTTTTTGGTACCGAGGATTGAACTTGGGACCTTGCGCTAGTGAGGCAGGTGGCACCGCTGAGCTACATCCCTGCCCATCCATCTAAACTATAAGGGGAACTTTTTTTTTTTTTTGGTACCGGGGATTGAATTTGGGACCTTGCACTTGTGAGGCAGGCACCTGAACCACTGAGCTAAATCCCCGGACCCCCTGTTGTTTTCTTTAAAGCCAGGTTTGATACATTATAGTTCTGGGCCAGACACATTCCAACCACATTGTCAAAAGTGAATTCAGGGCTGGGGATTTAGCTCAGTGGCAGACATTCGATTCCCGATACCAAAAAATAAAAGTGAATCTATGCACTCTGGGAGGCTGAGGCAGGAGGAGAATTTAAGCCCAAGAGTTTGGGACCAGCCTGGGTAACTCAGCAACTTGGAGAAATCTTGTTTCAAAAAAAAAAAATTGTTTTTCATTACTGTCTTAAAACAGCAGCAACAACAAATCCCTGCTAGAAGCCCCTGCAGTTGAGTCGGGGGCAGGAGGAGCAGGGTGGGTCCTGTCCTGGCGATACCTGGAGGGGCTCACTGAGGAAGGATTTTTTTAAAGAATTCTTTTATTGGTCCATTTTAGGTATACAGTACGATTATATTTATCATTGGGTGCTTGTACCTGTGCATGATGCATCTTGGTTCTTATTTTTTCCCCATTACCTGTGCGCCCTTCACCCCCACCACCCTTCCCTATTTACATAGATTTCGTTTCCATTTTTTTTTTCTTTT